GTTAGCCCAGTCCTTCACTCCGTCACCAACGCGACTGTCTGGGAAAGATACATTGGTTTATTGCTAGCGATCGTTTTGCTCTCGTCCGCTGTTCTGTTACATCTTTCTGCTTCTACGGAGCTAGTTTTTTTTAATATATTCTTACTGATACAACTTAGCAGACTGAAAATCAACGCTGTATGCATAGCATAAGTCATGACAATTATTGCTTTAGTTCTTTGTACTGGAGGTATAAATATTAAATAATAGTCATATTTTGTATCTGTTAGTCTTTTACTAGAAAAATTGGACGAAAGTAAATGTCACTGTTCTGCATCTGCAAAGGGCCAAGATCAAAATTTTGATCAGAAAATAATTTCACATATCGGTTAAAAAAACGGATGGTCCACCCTCAAATCGTTTGAAGTCTTTGGGGCGTGAGTTTTAATTAATTACTTCTTGTCAGTCATTTTTGGCTTTATGAGTTTGAATTGCTTTTTTCCATTCATTGTTTATCATGATGAAGACCCACGCCTTGTGGTCAAAGCTGTCATTTAAATGTAATGACGCACTAGACATCGCTCTCCTTTTTGTTTGTATCCATATTTGTTGAATCATTACAACTCGTCTTTGCTCTCGTGTTGTCGCGAAATTTCTCCAGAGCTTGATTTTCTAATGCCAGTGTATTCTTGACATGCATTCACGAGTATCGTGGTGACTGAGGCAAAACTGTTTCATTGTCGTTGCCTGTACTTAGGTTTTCGTTGGTACTGTGTCTTTCTTGATACTTATACTAAATGAACTATGAAAAATTTTTAAACTGTCACCATTAAATAATGTATACTTTATGTGTTAGTTTGCTTTGCATTATTGCCATATTCCATCATATTATGATATGCTTCATATTTTCGTCTTCCTATTTTGTGCTGAGTTTTATTTTTCTGTTCGCCATTTAATATATTAGATTATACTATTCTTGCGCTGATTATACTTCAATATTTCTTATGTGTCTTTATGATGTGCAGTGCTTCATACTGTCTTGTTATGCATTTTATTACAAATTTTGATTATTACTATTTTAATTCGGTCGTTAAGTTGCGCATATCATTTTCAGACTTGTCTGAGTTTAAGCAAGCGAAATGCATCGAATACGTTGAAAAGTGTTGTCGAGCTCACCAGTCGATGAGCACCGTGATGTGTCTAGACGGGGGTGGCATCAGAGGCCTGATTCTTGTCAT